GTACACTTTAACTTGTTTCTTCTTGAATATATTGTATGTAAAAGGACACAATGAACACAATTTAAAAAAATAAAACATATTATCAAACATTAAGTTGGAGAAAACATTCTTTATACCTCGTACATATAAATATACAACATACTCTATTATATATCCAGTAATAATTGGACTGTAAATTTGTTGCATAGAACGACATGAATAAACAACTTTTCATCAAGTGTAAGAGGAAACATTTTATAAGTCTCTTAATAGTTTCAATAACTTCTCACTTACATAACCTTGTATCCTTCTCTAGATTTGCACCTTCAAAGAGCAATATGGCTAAAGATTATTAAAAACTTGAAATTTGGTAAATTCAAATTAGTAATGTTATATATATATATATCAGAGCATTTATGGATAAAAGAAAATTTTCTCCATAAGGGTAAATATTGTCCTAAAAATAATAAACATTAGAATTTAGTTTTTCATTTGAAAATCAAAGTTGAATAGAAAATTGAGTTTGAATTATTACCAAAAGATTTAATTTATAGTGTAAAATTATTTATATTCCTTTAATAATAAAATAAAACATTAAAAAAAAAGAACTAGTAAAAAAACCCTCTCTACTTTCTAGCTTAAAACAACCATATAAAAAAAAAAGGAAAAAAACAAGTAATAAACACTACCTTATTCATTCATTTAAGTAAACAAACATACAGAAAATGATAAAAACAAAAAAGTAAATCACATTGCCTAAAAGTTAACTTAGCAAATAAGAGTTTACTCTTACCTTATCTTACATGTTGTTACTTGTTCTTATTGTAATTCGATTCACAATATTCTTGTTTTTATTGTAATTTGATGCACAATATTTCATATTAAATTATATCTCCATCATTTTTCTCATTTTACTCATTTTATCATGCCCTTCACACTGTTTTCTTTCATAATCATTTTCCTCTCTCCCTTTCTCTCTCTCTCATACCTATGCTATGATTCTCTTTATCTAATCTAAACTTTAACCATGTTATGCTCTTATATTGGTGGTTTATATTAATAAAATAAAATCCAATACAACAAAAATAACCTTCTCTCTTTTGTTTTTTTCTCTTCAGCTTTAGACATCTCACCTTAATTCTCTAATCTAATGTAAGCACCCCTCTTCTTCTTTTCAATAAGCTCAACATATTAACTTTATCAAATTTATACAACAAAAACAACTAATTCACACCACAAAATTAACTAATTGCCCCAAATTCTTCAATTATTCAAATTAATAAATTACCACAATAGCATTGTCAACAAAAAAAAAAGATTTTAACCCTAACTTATAATTTAACAATATCAAGACCTAAATATAATGAAAAAAAAAATCAAACTTGAGATGGGTCGAGAAAAGGTACTCCTAGCATAGGATTTGTGAGAGGGGGAGGGTGGTTGTTGGAATTGGTAGGGAGGACATCTGTTATGATTGTAAAGAAATAAAGAAGAAGAAGAAGAAGAAATGGTTAGGGATAATAAAGGAATTGCTAGTTTTTAGTTCTTTTAAAATCACAGACAAGATTTTCATCAACAATTCCATCAAAATTTTGACATTTTAGCAATACCAATAGAATTGCTAGAGGAATATTTTATTTTATTTTATTTTATTTTATTTTATTTTATTTTATTTTATTTTATTTTATTTTATTTTTTAATTTTTGTTAGAAATTACTTATGAAAATTTTTCATTGCTATTTTATTTGGTAAATAGTTATAATTGTTAGAAATTACTTATGAAAATTTTTCGTTGCTATTTTATTTGGTAAATAGTTATAAAATATTTTTCATTGGTATTTTTATTATTTTCTTTCTAATTTTCTAGTAATGTTTATTCTTTTCTATAGCCATGTTAGCAAAGTTATTGCTAACAATATCATTGATGGTATATAAAGAAGCCTCAAGGAATTTGATGCTTTGATCAAGCCTATTAGCATGAATTACTCAATTTAATCAGTATGAATTACTCAATTTAATCAATCATAGGAAATAAGAATACCATGGATAATGTGTTTGAAATATTTATATCAAGATTTAAAAATTAAAAAAAAGAAAGAAGAAAGAGATGGGATTTAGAATTAAGCTAGGGAGATTATTTTTTGTGTTTAAGTGATTTAGTTTAGTTATTAAAATTATCAAAATAAAAATATTTTTTAATTTCTCTTTTTTAATTTTTACCAAGTATTGTATAGAGTTGGTTGACATAAAATGGTATGATGCTTTGTAGTCTTTGCTATATAGGTAGCCCATGCTATACTGCGATCCAGGTCAAATTTCTTTAACATGATAAATAGAATATTCAGGTGATGATAGCATTTTCAAAGGAGTAAGAAAAATCTAGGACCTTGGTCATTAATTCGAATGGGCTCAATTAATTTATTTAATTTAATAATATGATTATAAAAAAACCAACAAAAATAAAAATAAAAATAAAAACAACAATGATTAATAAAAAAGTTCTTATCAATATTATAAAAAGATATTCTCTAAATATTCTTAAAATATTTCAATTATCTCATTTGATAACAAAGGAAAATTTGAATGAGAATGAGATAACTTCATAAAGAGGGAAAAACAACTCAAAGCTCAAGTATAGATAAATTAAATGTTGAAAGATAAATTTTAAAAAGACAAAAAAATATTACTTAAGTCAGCATTGAGCATGCTAAATTAATGGTTTGATCGGGGGGTCATAATAACCTTGTACAAAAAACAAATAATACAGTTCAACTCTCAAGCAAACTAAATAGTAAAAGAAATTTTTTTAGAAAAATCAATTAAAAAAATAAAAAAACAAGTTGAAAATACAAAAGAGTCCATAGACACCTGCTCAATAACTTTTAATTTTAAGGGTAATTAAGTTATTTAATTGTGTTTGAAAAAATAGACTGAAAAACCTGATGTGATTTTTATTAAGGGTGATTATGTAATTTTGCTATGTTAAAAAGATGTGAAAAAACTTATTTATACCAATTAATCTAATGATGACTTATAGAATGATGACTTATAAATTATGCGGAAAATATCATATTAACCTTAATAATAAGGTTATTGGTTTTTGTTGAGAAGGGCAAAAATATATTTATATTATTTTAATATATAGTGTTTTATGTCTTGATACATAATTTTTTAGTAGTCTCATTAAATATTACTTTTAGACTCATAGTACGTGTATGTGCGAACACAAATAAAAAAGATGGGATTTTAAAGAAAGGCAGGGAGAGGCCATTTTTGTGTTTGCACAAATGATTTTCTAGTTTAGTTATTAAAATTATCAAAATAAAAATAATTTTTTAATTATTTTTTATTTTTCTTTTTTTTCTTTAATTTATCTATTAAGTGAGTGGTGGTGGTTGAAATGAGAGGGAGACTCCTAGTTATAGTTTATGCTTCTTCTTTTTTAAGAAAAAAATAGATATGATATTTGGAGGGAAGGCAGGAAGAGATTATTTTTATGTTTTGAGGAAATGATTTCTAGTTTAGTTATTAAAAATATAAAAACAAAAATATTTTTAATTATTTTTATTTCTTTTTTATTTCTTATATTTTTTTATTAAATGAGTATTGTTATAAAGTGAGTTGAGAAAGAAAAAAAAAATATAATGCTTTGTAGACTTTCTATTTAGTAAGAAAGGTAATCGGCTCACTTTATGAATATATATTACTCCTCAACTCCTAGTTATAATATTTTTTTTTAGATAAAAAAAAAAGGGTACTTGGAGGGAAGATGGGGAGAGAAGATTTGAGTGTTTTGAGCAAATAATTTTCTAATTTAGTTATTAAAATCATCATAACAAAAATATATTTATTTCTCTAATCTTTTTTTATTTATTTAATAAATATTGATATAAATAAGTTGAGATAAGAGGATATGATGTTTTGTAGTCTCTACTAGACTCCTAATCATAATATATATTTTATAAATAAAAAAATTCAAAAGAGATGAAATTTGGAGGGAAGGTGAGGAGAGATAATTTTTGTGTTTTCAGCAGATAATTTTCTAGTTTAGTTATTGCAATTAGGAGAACAAAAAAAATTTTAAATTATTTTTTAACTTCTTTTTTTTTCATATGTTTATTTATTTAATAAGCAATTACTTCATTTTTTTGCCACATGTAGTACTCAATAATTCACAATGTTAGTAGTTTACGTTGGTATGGATTTCATTACCACTTAAAAATAAAATATTAAACTATTAAAATTTTTAAAATTTAAAATTTACATTAATTTATATTATTTTATATTTGATTTTCATTAAATAAATAAAAATAATAAAATTTGAATTCATGATAACTTAATTATTAATTATTAAGACTTTGATATTATATAAAAAAATCATTTCAATAATTATTAAAAATTTTATTAAAATTTTGATATTATATAAAAAAATCATTTCAATCTAATAACTTAAATTTTAAAATATAATTTATATTATTTTTTAATATAAAAAAAATTTCTTTGAGACGTGCCCAAGCTCGTTCTTTATCTTGCTGAATGCTAGATTTCTAAACAAGAAGGTGAAGGGAGAATCACTCACTGGAAAGAATCAAAGAGCTCTAACAAGCTCTACAATCAGACTAGTCAATTTCCTCGGAAGCTAGAACTATGAGTTCCACGTAGCCATGAACCTCTACCGTGAAAACACTATATAATTCCTACTGATCACCACTGTAAAGATGAGGTACAACATTTGCATTTGCATTTTGGAGGTTTCCTGATCATCAAACAGACCCCAGCAGCCACCACAAAAGCAATCAAATTGATGCAGCAAAGGAAGTTGATATTTGGGATTTTGATTGATTGGCAATATGGAACTTTAGCTTTTAAAGTTTAAAGATCCTGAGCAACTATACAATGGTAAAAATATTGTGTTTAAAAATGATGTTTCGAACACGACTAGCAATAAGAGCACAGCAGCCACTTCTTCCTCCTACCAGTTTAGATATCAGTAATGATGCCTTGACAAGCTGCCTGATCGATCAGTCATTTTTTCCGTATACAATATCTTGATCATGCTGAGCATCTGTTATTTTCTCTATAGCCATGTTAGCAAAGTTGCTGCTAACAATATCATTGATGATGCATAAAGATTCCTCAAGGAACTCGATGATCCGGTCGAGCCTGCTGGCCCTGTCACATTAATTGCTCAGTTTAGTCATAGAAAATAAGAATAGCATGGATAATGTGTTTGAGATGTTCATATCAAGAAAAAGAAACAATTTAAAGAGCAATCCACTCCCATGATCATGCACGTGTTTTATACACGAAGGTATATCAGCAAAATAATTGAATTACCCATGTCTAAGATGCATGATGCATCTCAGGTCCTTTGCCCCAATTTTAATTGAAAACAGCTAAAAAAGTTGTAACATTTCCACCTCATAATAAGAGAAGCACGGATCAAGAGCACGTTGCTGGTTTTCATTTTCATTTTCATATTCATGGCTTCGGTATGATAATCTAGTGGTGATTTCTTAAGTACTCATGATACCTGTCTGAGAGCCCATATGCTTTGTAACTGTCGAAAAAATTTGGAAATTCTGTGGAGCTAAAAATAAAAAAATAAAGGAAATTGATTATATAATGATGAATGATACCGTTAGTTTTTGGCGAGGCTGAACTGCTAGGTGGTGGTGTTGGTGGCACTGGTGTTGGAGGTGGCGGTGGCGGTGGCGGTGGCGGTGGTAGCTGCCCTGAAGGTGGAGATAGTAACATGCCGGGCAGAAGACCAATGCAATCAGCTCCGAAAGAGCCTGGTAGAAAAATTCAAGTGTTAGGCCAATATAATCTAATGTTCAAAATCATAGTCATGGAGGCTCACAACAAAGTTATCACATCACTTCCCCACAGAAAGGTCAACGTTAAATCTCCGAATCACTTGATAATGATAATTGCGAGATTCGAAATTATTTTCCCTTCTCTGGCAAGTTAATCACCACATGGACACCACCATGGTTTAACAATGGTTGAAAGATGATAACATAATTTGGTTGCCAAGGGAAGCCTGGCATACAGAATTTAGAACTTGGTTTCTAAATTGTTACGAGCAAACACATACAGTATTCTAAGGAAGCCAGAGCATAGGTTCAGCCATTTATGGTGGAAAGGAAAGTGTCTTACATTGTTTAATACAAGCTAAGTCTGTCTCGTTAAGGAGATTTGAAGAACCTTCGTTGCACTGGCATATGTGTCCAGTTCCATTAGCCACACAAGTTCCATCACCACACCAAACAAGGTTACAGGCTGCAAAACAGAATGTCTTGGTTTAAGATCCGTAGTGTTCACAAAATCAGTGACAAGTATGCTAACGTTCAATTATGTCTACGGTTTGAGAGATTGAGCGGTGGAGGTTGAGAAGCTGCAGGTGAAGGTGAAGCTCCATTGCCACATCCAAGATCAAATGTGCCTGCATGTATATACACAGTCATCTGGTTGTTGCTCTTATCTTGCCATATAAAAATTCAAAAACAGATATGGGATTGGGATTTAGTCTCTATGGAATCGAAAAACAAAAATAAATGAAAACCAAGCATGACACCGTGAGAACAGCTCATAAACTCTTCCAAGTACTTAAAAATCCATGGTATGCTAGCACAAATTCTAACCATCATCATTCAAACGATCATCAGCACCTCTCACTCAAAGATACACACACACATGGAGTGAGAGAGAGGAACTCACAGTTCGGAATAACGCAAGAGGGAAAGGTCAAAGGGCCAATCTCTATCTTCTTCCAACCAGAATTACATTCACATTCAAAACCAAGCAGTGAAGCATTAGAAGCCTTGCATGTCCCATGCCCACAATTTATCAATGCACACACATCACCTGTACACATAAAAAGAAGGGAGAAATCATCACCGCCATCAGTGTATAATCAATCAGAACGTTTAAACCACAAGTAATTCCGTGACCAAAACAAATAAAACTTTCAACACAATACTGCACAAATAACCTGAATTTCTTTGGGGAAAAAAGGTCTGATACACACACACACACACACATCGTTGCATGAGCATGAATTACCTTGTAATGTACTACTTACTGTCACAGCCATAAGGAAAAAGAGAAGAAGATGGATTTTGAATGTCCCCATGTTTTGGAATATGGAAAGAGCTTGGTGGTGCCTTCTGACTATTTAAAGCGGGTTTTCCCAATAAAAAAGCATTGATAAACTCACTATAGTCCTATTCTTCTACTAAACTCGGGGTATTCTCGTCCTTTTAAGCGAACCCTTTTTTATTTATTTTCTTTACTATATCAGCTTCTGTTTTTCAGAATTATATGGGTTCAGGCATGCTTTTTACCATTTTTGTATTCTTTAAGAATTTAACACCCCTCATGCCAAAATATGTTTATTAATTATATTTTATGAAACAAAAATTGTATTTACTTAATCAAAAACTTCAAGTTGAAAATTATCTAAGACATAATTTTGTTGATGTCCCTTCATAGCTAAAGATGGTTGGACTTTCGAATGATTCAATGAGATAACTCCCTGCAATATTTTTAAAAATGAAATTAAACTTTAGTGTTTGCTCCCTCTATTATTTTAAGTTTGAGTTCTTGGTTGCTTATATGATGATCACTGGAGGCTTACATGATCGTTAATTTTAGAGCTCATGAGATTAGTTGTGGTGCACGCAAGCTGACCCGGACACCCATATTAATTAAAAAAAAATGAAATTAAACTCCCAATTTCGATGATTTATGTTAAACTGCCCAAGTTTATTATTGTAGCAGTTGTACTTTTCCTTAATGCGTTGCACTTGGGACAAATGCGGCAACACGGTGTCATGGGAGACCAATGTAAGGGGCCCTACAGGCGAGACAAGCAATGCAGGGAAGGGAATAGTCTGTCTACGTCGATTTTAGCAACGCAGGAGAGACAAATTCTGTGAATGAAAAGGCTAGAATAATTGAGAATATCGTTCCAGCTTCATTTGCTTGTCCATCCTTGCAGGTAATCAATTATCAATCCCCCTTTTTTTATATCTATTTAGGCAGTTGTTTGGAAATTTAACAATGGTTGCAATTCAAATATTTTTTATTTAGAAATATATTAAAATAATTTTTTGAAAGATTGTTTCGGATGGAAATATTAGATAGTTCCACAGGCATGTAGATAATTATTAAGCACATTTTCCCCTTACAATGCTCTTATGATATAAACAAACAGTGATCTTATGATATAAACAAATAATCCAAATTATGTGCCGCAACAAGATGGAGCATAAAGTTGTATTTAACTACTCAAATCCCTTATTGGGAGATCCATCTTCTGACATTTCTGCGGATTGCTAAAAAATGTAAGATTAATTTATCCAACATGATCATGTTTTAGGTCATCATATAAATTTTCACAGTTATCGAATTCATCTAATTTAAATGCATGCACGACAGTTTTTCTGTTTAATTAGCGAAGAGGAGCATGCACAACCTGCAGCAAGGAAGGAGCATCTGTCAAGTAGTTAAGCATGATTTTAGTGTTATTGATTATATCAGCAATCAATCCTTGCCAAATGGACAAAAATATTTGGAAAGGAATTTCGATTACATTACAGAAGGGAGGTTACAGTTGCAACATAACAAAATGATATCTGCCCCTTCCAACAAATGGGTTACAATCAATGAAATCAATGTCAAAATACAAATATCACCTCCAGTGAAAAACGTTTGATGAAAATACCAACCAGGAGGAGTCTCAAGATGGGTTTCATCGCCCTTACGCTGATCCAAATTCCGAGAACCACTTCTCATGCTTCTCAATATCTGCTTGGGAAACACTGCGCTGAACCTTCCGCAAGGCCTCTTCAAAATCACACATCGCTACAGGATCCTTTGAAATCTCATCCTTAGCCATGCTCTTAATTTCATCTCGTGTCTTTCCTGCTATCTTGCGTCTCATGCCATTTAAAGAAGCATCCCTGCAAACATTCGTTAAATCATCTCCACTATATCCCTCTGTCCTGCGAGCAACTTCATCAACATTTACATCAGTTGCCACCTGCATGATAACATTGTTAACCAATTTAGCACTTTGCTCCACACTCCAGAGTGAAGGCATCATATAGACTAGCATGGTTGAGAGTGTCATTTGCAAGGAAACTTTGCAACAACAAGGGAAAGGAAACAAACCCAAGCACCGACTGGAGCTCTACATAAATCAAGGATCTTCTTCCTGGAAAGCAAACTTAATGTATTTTGAAAAAAATGACAACAGGTCACGCAGAGAGGATGAGTTTGTGATTCAGCCAGGAAAGTGTTGAAGTGCAGATCATATGATCAAGAAATGAAAGTATGAAGGCATTCTGTAATCAAGGCATAATCAAAAATCATCATAATGGTTGCCGTAGCATCAATGCTCTCACATGAAATTATGAAGATAGATCAAATATGCTCTTCTGAATATTTGGATACAATACATGTTTATGGCCCCAAGTCAAGAGCATCTAAATGAGTAGCCTAAAGACATTGATCAGAAATTCTCGCAATAAATCTAAAATGGCTAATCAATTTGCACCATCTGGCACGGCACTCTCTTTAGTAACAAATATCCTCACAGAACATTAACAAATGCCAGAGAATGCTATCTTGCAATTCTCATAAAATACAAGTTCAAAAAATAAAAATAAAATTATTATGAGGGCTTTATGTAGATCATTAAAATTACAGCCCTTTCATTCAACTCTTTATTATTCACAACAATTGAGTGAAATTGGCACCAGACAAGTAAATCAGGCGAACTATTTGTATACCTCGGATTTTACTTGTATCCTACCTTTTCTCCATAAAATCAAACTAGAACCAAAACTTCCACTTATAAATAATTCAAATTGGAATTATGCAAAACCCCACTCAGCTACTGTCCACCTTTAGTTTCCATTTGCCACCTTATGGTGCTTAGCATGGCACTTTAACCCCAGTGTTTGCTCAATTACATGGTTTATTACCAAGTGAAGGAATTTCCTTCAAACCCATAATACAGATTTTTACTACATAAAATGAAATAAGTGAATTCCATGTTACAATTTATTCATGGTGTAAGAGTGAATTTCACCTACTCTCATTCTGATATCACAAAAGGTAATGTTGTATTATATTCACAATTTTCATTTTCTTGACAGAAAAGGGGAACAGAACAAAGGAAAGGGCAAAAAATATCATAGATCAATACCACCAGGTGAAAAAGTAAAGTCCAGCCTAACCATAACAACATAAAGAATGAATTACCTTCATCCAGGATATGTAATATAAACCAAGAATCGAAATGGAGAAAGAACTTAATCTAACAATATGGCAAAATATCATATCAGTTGGCAAAGTCAATTACCTCAACAGTTTTCAAATTGATCCTAATAAGCTCCTTACGACTCTCGAATTTTGGAAGCGGAATGTAAATACGCTTTTCCAACCTCCTCCTGCATTGCATTTACATCACATTAGATAAAGCCAGAGCAATGAAAATGCTGTATAACATCTTGGACAGATTGCCATTTAGCATAAATCATAAGAATTTCAGAAGGCAAAAAATCTCAAATATATTTATGAGAAGACAATCAACAAACCTTAGTGCCTCATCTATGTCCCAAGGAAAGTTAGTAGCTGCCAAAACCATCACTATTTTCCGACTGCCATCTTCACCAGTGGAACTATTGTTTACACCATCTACCTGGACCAGAAGTTCAGACTTGACCCTTCGAGATGATTCATGCTCCCCTGAAGCCCTGAACAATTGAAATCATACAAAACCACATTCAATCTAATAATAGAAAAAATATATGAATTTAACAATCAGTTCTTTCAAAGTAGAGCAAACAACTTCAAGAATTTGAATTCGTGAGAAGGAAGAAATCAGCGCGCGCGCGTGTGAGGGAGAGGGAGAGGTTAATGCACATAGAAGGCATATAAGAATTTAATGAAGACACAAACACTAACATGATGAAAGATGCAGGTATATAACATACAATCATACAGTCTACTGAAACTTCAACCTTCATGAGAATGGATGAAAAACTCACCCCCTGGCATTGCATAGAGAATCAATCTCATCAATGAAAATTGTACTTGGTGCATAAGCTCGTGCTAGATCAAATAAGCATCGAACCATTCGTTCACTCTCCCCACGCCATTTTGAAGCTAATGTTGCAGATGAAACATTGAAGAATGTTGTACCACACTCAGTAGCAACAGCTTTAGCAAGTAATGTCTTCCCGGTACCAGGAGGGCCAAACATAAGCACACCTTTCCAAGGCCTCCTAATTCCCTGCCGACAAAAAAAATATAATTAAAACTAGAAATGAAAAGACCAGCAACATTATTTAGACAAACGATCTATGTCGATAAGAACATCTTCCAGCATATGGTAAGATATCATCTTAATTCCAGAAAACATGATGAGTGAAATAACATAAAGAACCTAGAATCCACACATGATGAGAATGCAAACTACAACTGAAATACAGCTTCAACCATGTAAGAATACCTGGAAATATTCAGGCATCCACAAAGGAAGGACAACAGCTTCCTCCAGAAGACGTTTCGCTTCGCTTAGTCCAGCAACATCATCCCATCTTACTCCAGGACTAGTTTCCAAAACATCCCTTTCAAGCATCTCAGCCAAGTCAGGATCGGGTCCCTCATATTGCGGCCTCTTCTTTCCATCTTCAGCATCACCATTCTAACAATTGCACTTGCAGATTAGTTCACATGATGAAAACAGTCTAGACATGAAGTATAATTCACATCATTCTTATTACTTGGAATCTTATGTTAAGTCACCATTTGTGACACCAAGTGAAAAAAATGATATAGACTAAACATTCCACAAATCCTATAAAAAAATTTAAGTGAAAAGAGAAAAGACCCCATGAAAAGGTATCAGTGCAATCCATCTGATTATATTAAAAAAGGCATTATCAACATCTGAAATCAAAACTAAATTTGTTTGAAAAGGTATAAAGTAAAAGAGTATTGCATTTGTGGAGAACTGCAACATGGATGCCTGAGAAACATTTGAAGACCAACTCCTCTTAGGATAAAACTAAACAGAATACAACCACATATATTTTTCTTTTTTCTTTTTCTTAGATTAAAAAAAAATTATT